GTTGAAAAATATGCATCCGTTCAGGAGTTATAACGTTTTGAAATTTTTCCAGATGCTGCAAAAATTTTAGCAAAATTTCAAAACGTTATAACTCCTGAACGGATGCATATTTTTCAACGAAATTTGAAATCTGTCGATGAAATTCGATGTAGCTTACTATGAAATTCTAAAAACCGGAATACTACAAAAAGCAAAAGAATTTCCCGGGAGAGCAAGCATAAAAATTATTCTTTTTTCGCAAACTCCGATCACAAAATCTTTTTTATAAAATCTCATCATTCAGGCCCAATATCACCCTCCATAAGTTTCATCTGGATCCCATGCTCTGAAGCCGAGATTTCACATACCAAAAAATCCTGGATAAGACACTGCACCAGTGTTTCTAACAGCAGAGCGTACATAGGCTTTGAAATTTAGAAATACGCTTTGTTTTACGCTTTGCTGAGAAAATCAGAGCATACAGTGTACGCCTTCCTGTCACTGGTTACTCTTTGTGCTTTAATAGAACATTTTTATATCTAAGAGAAAATAAGAAAAACATTTTTACTAATGAGTCATTCTGCTGTTTAGAACGAAGAAAAGATAGGAGCGCGGTTGAGTTCACCTGTTTTTTAATTAGTCGTGCAACCCTCCCGTAAAGCTTCACAGTGGCTCATCCCCGAGATGAAGGAAAAAAGCGACGATAAATATGAACTGAAGATGTAAAAGAAAGCCGAATCAAACCAAGAAAACCGTGATACCTAATTGATGCTTTCTTTATTAGATTTGAAACGTATACGCTTTGCGAAAAAAACAGAGCGTACGCTCAGCGGACAAATCCTGTTAGAAACACTGCTTTGCACTGTATAAAATAAAACTTGTTCACTAATCTAGATACGACGGATGCACTTCGAATTTTTGTTAATAGTGAATAATCTGTGATCAATACAAAACAGTTGATTACAATTAATTGGAAACACTGTCAACTGGAACCTTACGGAAAAGATTGTTTCAATTTGCTTTTCTAAATATTTAAGTTGTTCAATTGATCCAAATTGACAATTTATCTTTTTGTTTTTATTCAAAAGAACTTAACGTCGAATGCATGTTATTACGTTTCGTTTGTTGATGATGTTGATTTAGCTTATATGATATATCGTCACCGTAAAGTCCATGTTACACTTAGAATGTTTATTAATTTTGATCGGTATTCTTTTTTCTGTTTTTGTTTGTAAAATGTTCATATAAAAAATATCTGGATAAAGTTCATGTCAAATGGTTTGAAGATATTCAATATGATTTATCAACATGTGTGTATTTGATGCATCTATGGTTCCTTTTCGATTTGATTGAATGCATATAGTAAAATATGTCTATTTGACATTACCATGAGTGATGGGGCTTGACATTTACATTTAGTTATAAATGTTTATTATGAAAGACATTAGATTAAATCACTATCGGAATTTTGCCGCAAACTTAATTTATTTGAACCTCCGCTTAAAATCTGGTTATATTATCTATCTTTCGTGCCTAGTAATCGTTATTGTTTGAAAGAAAGATAAGAGTCTTTGATGCGATGTTTTTCAGTTGACTACATGTGAGAAAAATGAGCTCATTAAACGTCTCTTTTGTAGATGACTTCTGCAAGTAAAACGTTTTTCGAACAGGCTGACCAGGCATTCGATAATGGAAGATACATAGCTGCATTTGATGTTAGTACCTCGTCCATAAAATAATGTACTTTTCTTTTTGTATGTTTCCTTTTCTTTTATTTGTAGTTCTGTACAAAGTCTATTGAACAAGATAATCGTTCGGATAATCAGTATACGAGTCAGATTTATTCATTACGTGCTCGGTGTTCACATATGATAGGAAAAAAAGAAGGTAAATGAATAACTGTATTGTTGCTTTACTTTATTCTGAATTTATCATTTATTTAGATTCATACAATGACAACTGTAAAGCGTTGGAATTAGATCCTACGAATATCAAGTTATACTTAGAAAAAGGGTAACATTTTGCAACTTAAAAGCTGTTGTTCTATATATCCGCTTTGTAGTTTGACTGCGTACCATTTGCGCAAAGTAAAACAAGCTTTAGAAGTATTCAATAGTGGTTTAAATATTGATCGTGAGTAATCCTTCTTAGCTTCTCTTTTGAAACTCTGTTAACACTATTTTGTTTATTTTTCAGCTAATGAAGATGAAATCAAGCAATGGAAAGAAATAATTGAAAAAGAATTAAGTAAGTAAACTTTTACTTTATTTGCGTACAGTAAAATAAATTGTTCTTTTCTGAAACAATCGTCTGATTAATTGTTCACTTTTTTGCTGATATTTTGATCGTAATTAGATCTCAGTTGGTTATGGAAAAATACAATAAAATTTGTCAATATAGATCATCCTGTTAGCGTTATAGAAACGAGGAAACAGCTGATTTTAAGATTTCAAAACTTTAAAGGACTTCAGGATACTTCAAGACCCATGAAGTCTCCTGTCTTCCTTGAATTGTAACCACTTGACCAAACGTTCGATCGATCTATGTGAAGAAACAAAATAAAAAATGAATGACAGAATTTTTATTTGAGATTTCTTTTTGTAGATAGATTTTATAGTTCGTAAAATAATCTTGTTCTTACGAGGGAACCTCCCCAAGTGAAGGAGCGTTTTTTCCTCGAAACATACATGACTATATGTAATCGACAATGCTAATTCCGAATATCATAGTTCGAGCGACCCATGCCGTTCTGGAAACCCGGTTTTCCAGAAAACCAGTTTTTCAGAAACTCTAAAACTAACTGAAACCGTTTCTTAATGAGTTACGATTGTAGCCCGCAAATTTCTGATTAAAATGAGACATCTCCCAGCTCTATACCACCTTTCTTTGCAAAGTTATAGAATTTACAAGCAAAGCCCTGAATGTTCATTGTCAGCTCAAAGCTACAGAAACAAGACAAACTAAATTTAGGGCTTTTCTTATAAATTCTATAACTTTGCAAAGAAAGGTCGTGTAGAGCTGGGAGATGTCTCATTTTAGTCAGAAATTTGCGGGCTACAATCGTAACTCATTACGAAAAGATTTCAGTTAGTTTTAGAGTTTCTGAAAAACTGGTTTTCTGGAAAACCGGGTTTCCAGAACGGCATGGGCCGCTCCAACTATGATATTCGGAATTAGCATTGTCGATTACATATAGTCATGTATGTTTCGAGGAAAAAACGCTCCTTCACTTGGGGAGGTTCCCTCGTTAGTCGAAAGAAATGCTTTTGAGACAAGAAAATGCTTTAAAATCCTCCAAACCTTCGTCGTTTTCAGGAAAACCTTGTAATTAGTAATAGGTTAGAAAAGTAAAACGCCATAGAACTTCACTCTGAAAGTCTTGCAAGCTTAAATATAAGAGAAGATTGGAGCCTTCTATTTTGAGAGAGAGCTTACTTGATCCTACATGGATCAGAGATGATATTAATCCAGACTACGAAACAAAAAAATCTTTTATTAACATTTGTAATATGCATTTCCATAGAATTTGAGTCTAATCATTTATTCATTAGGCAGAACATTGAAATTTTTTTCCTAGAAAAGGAATCACTAGAATTCATAAAGAATGCATTAAAAGTTTTCATTCATATGGTTTTTGAAAAGTGGGACAAATATCGATTATTTTGCTATTCGATGTTGAATTCTTAAAACATATGCGTGATTTTTTTGTTAAATATCAAACAATCATATTCGACTGATTTATTATTTGTTTCAACAAAAAAATGTTCATTCATCCACCAATTTTAAGCCGTCTTTACAATTATTATAACGTTTAACCAATTTTTAAGTTCTTAAAAATTGGTTAAACGTTATAATAATTGTAAAGGCGGCTGTTGTTCTGTTCTAACAGAAAATTAAGAATACTTTTTTCTAATTAATGACTGGGAACAGTGAAAAAAATCATTAATTTAACATAAAGACTATAAAGTCGTCATTTGTTTTTTCTCGTTGAAAATTTCTTTTTTATTATTAGAAAGAATGAAGAAAGTACTTTCTAATTTTCTAATTTTTTTTCATATTAATTTCTATTTTTCTGTGTTAGTTGATGAATCAGCTGGAAGTGTTACAACAAGGAAAGAAGCAACATTCACTAATTTCGTTGAAAAATTTCAATTAGAATTTTACCGTGTAGAGGTACACTTCTTCTTTTCGGAAAAAGAAAAAGAAGCTATATATGAACGATTTAACAGTGCAAAACAATTATTAATAAATATTATTTCAACTGATCCTCGTTGTACTCAAATATGGTCAAATATTATTGATGGCGCTTATGAAAAAATAACACCGCTTTCATCAACATCACAGATTGTTCAACAACTCTTTACTTCATCAATTACCACAAGATCTATGCTTCAAGAACTGATTGCAAAAAAAATTATTATCGCTTTTGCTCATCCAAATACAGTAGCATCACCATCGATACTCGATCCTGTTAGAACAAAAGAATATGCTACAACAACAAAATTTGAAGATAAAGCTCTAATCACAATCAACCCAATGGTATTTAACTATAATACAACAAGTAACCATTTTATTATTATTTGAAAAGAAAAATCACTTTTATTTCAGTCAATTCAAATCGAAAAAATCAGAAATTTTTTTGTTTTATCTTATTCATTGATTAATTAAAATAATACATTATAATGAATGTGTTTTTTTTGTTTGTTTTAGTTCATGGAAGCCATATTACTGGTGAATCATGCACTTTATTTTTGGCTATACTTTTAGCCCATGAAATTACTCATGCAGTTAAATATATTGGTGAAACTATAACGACGACACCAGAATTGCCATTTTTTAGAACATATTCATGTCCTGATGAATATGATGGTGGAAATACACTAGAGCACGAACTGATTGCTGGCGAAATACACATTAATCGTGATAGTGCACAAACTAATGCGGAATTGTTTATAATAGGATCAAATGGTCAACATTGTCATATATCACAATCAGATATTAATAATTGCATAAAAAACAACAGTGTTCAACCATTATCATCATTAGGTCATCGATTAGAACTTAAACGTAAGCGTGCAACTGATACAATTGATAGTAAAAGAACTTGTACCGATTATTCCCAAGCAACTGATTATGAAAATGAGAATAACAATGAGAAATTTATACCTCTACTTCATTATCATACACGACGCAGTGTTTTTCAAGAAACAAATGTTGATGAAAATGAACATTATCAATCTTTGTTAAAGTATCATCATGAAGAAGACGCTTCGTACGTCCAATCTCCAGATAATCCAGTATTGCTTCTCATTTAAATTTATATCAAATGTACAATTTATCTATGGATTATGCTTTTCTTTCATTCAAAAGTTATTATGTATTATGCATTATTTGTTGATTTAGTTGTTGTACAAATAAAAATTTTCTCAAGGTTCACATCCCACATAATTTCATTCAAGTACAACATGGGCTATCTAATAAACATACTGTTAGAAAATTTAAGTCACTGGTTTTATCATCAGCGAATATAAAACGTTTACAATTTGTCAAAATTTTCTATCGATGTGCTTTTATTTAAGAGTCAGTTCATATAAGCCACGACTGTCAGCATAGAAAATTTGCTCAATCGGGATGGTCAGAATCTGCTCAATTTTAGATATGTTGTAGAGGGAAGAGTTTTATGAATTTCGATTCGAGCCGTTTTGAAAAACATTGCACCCTCGATTTTTTTATGAATGTTTTACGAAAAGCCCCAAAAATCAGACCATACAAAACTCGGGTTTTCTCATGATTTCTGTATTCGTACGATAATTTCACAAATCTTAGAATGAATACCTTGTAACGTTTTCAATTTCTTCTAACTGTACACAAGACACAACAGCAGCTATAGGTATTCTGTATAAGTGGCCAAGAAAATGTTTTAGAGGGGAGTCCCGATTGCGGCCCCTAGCCTCGTAAAATGAGCAACAGAAAGTTGGAAAAACTCGGGAGGATTATTTATAAGTTCAGTTCTCGAAATTTTTCTGGAGTTTTTTTTGCAGTAGAACTCCGAAAAACCATGTTTTCCCGGGACAACATAAAAATTTTCATAAAGGTGTTCAACCCCACGGGACCAGTTTTTTTCTGCTAGGTCTGGGTTCTGTGAATTTTTAAAAATTTTATCTTGGAAACCTCTACTGGTAACCGAATGACCGAAACAGGGGAAAACAAGTTGCGAGACACAGTTAAATTAGGCCTTGCTAAATCTGTTCTACTTACAATGGAAGGGTTTGTATTGATAAGCGAATTGGATGATCCACTTGCTATCAAAAGATCACTTTCACCGAGAAACTAATGAATTTAAAATATTAGGCCCGTATGGCATATCTGGACTAAGGAGCTCAATTTTTTGCGTTATACAATATTTGGATATTGAAACATGATAATATATGAACTATTCACATCAACTCTTAATGCACTCATTAGATCTGGTCGGGAAACGGATTTACAAAAGTCTGTTGACATTTTTTATCGATACTAAGGTCCGTCTAGATTCAACTTATTCTGGGGTTTATTGATACTGAATTAAAAAAACAAGTGATTTGTCTGAAAAGCGTGCATGTATAAGATATTCAAAAACTAAGTGCATTAACGCATCACATCGTAATTTATTATATATTCTTCCACGACTGGTATTCGTAAGTACCAATTATATGTGATTCGAACTGACTTCTTTTCATATTTTACACTACGAATAACGCCTGAAGAGATTAGTCTTATCGATCGAAGAAATGAATCTGTTGAACATGGCGAAACATCTCCACCTAACACAAATGGAATTTGGCTTTGAAGATACAATACCAAGTGCTGATGAAATTTTTGCTTCACAGCAATTATTCAAGATCTTAAAAACGTTCGAGGATAGTGGTTTTAGTGAATTACGCACTTACCAAACGCTCGATTTTCATGATGAATATGATGAAATGACAGACAAAGAAGAAAGTACTGATGAAGAAGAATCAAACGATGAACAAGATAATATTGACGATTATGATGAAAATCAAGCTTGTTTATCTTAATAGAATAAATCAAGAATTTGAGAGTTTGTCGTAAATTTACATACTGTTTTTGAATACGCCTAGATTATTGAAGAACTACATGTGTGTAATTTAATGGTTCAAAGTTTCTTGTGAAATCTCATGTATCATAGTTTGAGTAAGGAGAGCAGCTGATGCTTTATTACTTTATTGTTGATTATCACCACTGGCATCTGGTGATATTTCGTTATTTTTTGATTGGCAAATGGTTGCTATTATCTTTTACGTCTTCTCCGTTGAATTTTGTTGTGATATTGGTAATTGACTGAATGATCAATTAACATTCATGTCATCTTTATTGAAGCCCTGATGTTTACGGTTATTTTTGGATGTCGGTTCACGCTGCTTTCTAAGTGGATATATTTAAATATATTACAAGTAAAATATCGGTTTTTTCGCTACATAATGTAGAGCTAATCGCATGTATTGTGCTATGTTCCTATCCTATTTAGCACCGTTTCTAAACGTCCATAGCGGCTCACACCGTTCACATTCTGTCGGCTGAACGAAAATATCAGAAGACGTAAAATGTCTGTCTGCAAGAATGAATTCAGAAACAGTGATGGCATTTTCAGTGGCGAACTTGTCGACCATGGCATTTCACTGAGTGACTTTGGTCGTAGAAAAGGCTGTGATCGACGTTAAAAAATAAGATTTCTTGTAGAATGAGGCTGAAGTATTCGTGACTGAGTGGTTGGGGCGCCATTTGTGTTTCGATGAGAGTATTGAACGCATGCGAAAGCCGCTAAAATTCTCGACTTGCTTCAATCCAGAGCTGAAAAATCTGACAGGAATCAGCTGTGAAATATTGGAAATTGTCTTTTTCAGAAAATTCATCCCTGATTCTGTCACCAGATTCAGAGCTGCTCAGAATTTTCATCTCTGAATCAGATACATTTCAATGACGTCTGATTCAGCCCTGATAAAACTCCATAGCTAATTCAGCTTTTAAGACCGAGCTAATCGTCGACTAATGATGTTTCAGAAATGAAAAAGTAAATATAAGTCACAAGTCTTTGTTGCTTTTTATATATATCTGTTCCCATCTAAGTAAAGAACGACGTCAGGATCAGTCAAGAAAGGCAAAATATCGAGTAAAAAAGTTCTTTTGCACTTTTTTTACATCATTTGCTAGAACGTGAGCTGCTGGTCAGGAAAACAACGTTTTACTTTACGCAAATACCTTTTTCAGGTCGATAAATATGAAAAGTTTGAAGGATGTCGTTTTTTCAAAAAATACATCCTTTCCAAAATATGCCTTATATTTTTTTAATAATAGAGCTAGAAAATTATTAATAAATTCATTAAGATGTTTAACCACATCATCTCTTTCATGTCCCTGAAAATACGGGCGTTGTGAATTTGCTTCGAATTTAGCTCCTCATCTGCGTAGATCCAGACGACAAGTCCTTTCCAATCTTTTCAAATCGTCGCGAATTTCTCGTTAATTCATAATATTTTTTGCACACCATTCCTTTCATTCAGTTTAGTGACAGACGTAAGACAGAAACCTAATTGAGATCACTTCACTGTCTTCGTTAGAAACAAATGCAGTAATTACTACTATCTGTGTTTATGAAAAGTTTCTTCATTTTTCCTACTCTTATTGTGCCAGATCTGTTCATTTAGTCATACTCAGTCCTTCTTCACCTGAAATACTTAATTACTATTATTCGAGTTGCACTCTCATTCAATAGCCACATGATTATTCCAAAAAAGTAAGAAAATCACAGTACGGCAAAATAATCAGAAGAAAAAGATAATCAATAGTTTTAGGTTATTGTTTTAAATTGATATATAATATTTGTATTTGTAATTTCATTGTACTTTCTTCTCCATCGAAATTTAGATTTGAACTGACAAAGCGAACGGGCTAGGCGGATTTGAAACTCAACCGGATCAATAATGCATTTCAAAACGAAATAGTTGTGTTTTAAACTGAGCTAGACAATACTAAAATCTAGTGGCAAATTTTCTTCTAACATATTTCCTTTTTCAATAAAAGATATGAGCGAGTTATTATCATCATTTTCTTTCATTTATTGTTGAATACGTTTCCAAAAATCTCAATCATCTCAAATTGTGCCTTTTTTCCGATAAGCGCAATTTGCGATCTGAACTAGTTCAGTTTTAAACTTAACTGGATTTTAATCTGAACTCCGACATATATATATTTATCGGTGTAACCCGTTACTTACATGTTTTATACTTCAGTTGCTTTTTTGTACAGTGACGTAATGGATAAAAATCCATGATAGATGGAGAAAAAGGTGAAGAACAACCCATGATAGATGGAGCGTACACTCGCGGCTTGTTTCATTGTAAAGACGGAAGTCTCTTCTATATAGCAGACAAATTTTGAGCCTAGCTCACTATGCAAAGTCTACGAACCGCGAGCTAGAACATTTTCCTTCGAAAGATACGCCATGGTGGTAGATACGCCTAATGCAAGCTACTCAACTGCCTAATTTTAGTAAGTATCTCTTATCATGGAAAAGTCACAATCAAGGGACAAAGTGAATCGCACGTGAACGGTACTTGTCTAACAGATATAAGTGAAAATGTTGCTTTAGGTTTTGGTCTAAACGTACAACAGTTGATCTAACAATAATAGAGAAAAATGTGAGTTTCGATACATCGATACATCTTTTTTTACGACTAGCGTCACTCACTGGAATGCTATGTGGTGTACTTTATCAAGAGATCATACGTCTATACACCACAGGCCAAGTGAACACGACAGCACCCTGTGAAGCAGTTTAAAAACACTTTAGTTCACCTAAAAAGCTAAAAATGGCGGTTCAAGAAGTGGAAAAATGATATTCTTGGATTGTTTAAGAGTTTGTAATAGTGTCAAGCTGAGTTTTTGTGTCCGGTGATCTTCTTTTGGATGTCGTCGAGACCTCGATGATTGCCATCCATTTGCTCACCCTCAGGATCCACGACATAATCCATCCTCACGTCACAGGGGGAACAAACCACCATCCCCACATCAGCGCCATTTAGTCCTCTTTCAGAGCATTTCTGTTCTTTCTCTGCAACTTCTCGTATCATGGGGTTTCCTTCTTGCTTTCAAAAAGAGTCAGGCCTTCTTAGTGTATCCACTCACAGTATTCAGAGATAGGATATCCTCTCCAGAGAAAAAAGTACGCATCAAATCTAAACAAACACCAACGTACAGGGTTAGTGAATGGAAGAACTCGATTATACATTGGAGAACATTAACTCTAACTTCCAGAAGCATGAAAATGGTGGACCCGAAAGACGTTGATAGTAAACAGTAAATTCGAGTGAAACAGATCATGCTTGTTAAGGTCAAGACATTAGTGAATCTGCGAACCTTACTATTACTTGAATGGCTTTTTTTGAGAGACAAAAAGGAAGAAATGCGTATTCAGAAAAGTCCATTTGGTACTTGATTTGTTTTATAATGTTAAGCAGCAGAACAATTGCTATTAAAAAGATTATAGACTTAACCAATTTTTCTGCGTTTTTTATTGGTCAACAATATTATCAATTTGCGAACAATAACGTCTATCATTTGTTCGTTGTTATCATTATTCATATACACAACTGATCATCGTCAACGATCCTGTCTTGTTATGCTAGATGAAAGCACAAGTGCAATTGATTATACCAACAGAGACAGAAGACAGAGAAGAAATACTTACGGATGAGGTAGCTTGACCGGGTGCTTAACCTAGCTGCTAACCTCCTTGTGTTTAATATATTTGATGCCAGAAACTAGCTTAACCGACCGGTTAACTGCCCGGTTGGCGCTAGATTTACTGGAGCTAGCTGGATCGGTCAGTTAAGTGGCTGGTTAACCTAGAGAATAACCTCCTTGTATCTAACACATTTCATGTCTGAAGCTAGCTTAACCGACTGATTAAGTGAGCGGTTAACCTAGATCATAACCTCCCAAACCGGCCTAAAGTAGGTTGAACCGATTCAAGCTCCATTTTTAAAGTGAAAACTGATATGTTATAGAACAAACAGCTACACATAAGACGAGATTCAAACGCTTGACCAAAACTATGGAGAAGTCTGACAAAACTTAGTTAAGAATGAGTTTGATCAACAGTTCAATCTGAGCATAATTTACTCAGATCCCATAACCGGCAACCGCAAAGACTTTCTCGATAAAAGTTTATCTGACATACCGAGTGTAAAAAAAACAAGTAAACCTGTTCTGATTAACCTAAATAAAATTTTACTTTTTAAATCATTGAAATTTCGAAGTTATTCTAAATGTGAAAATATTCGCACTTCTATTTACACAAGAATGTAAAACAAAACCATGATTTGAGAATTTCCAAGACTTTGGTACAAGAAGTCAAGAAATTACAAGATGTTCAAGATCTTGACTTCTTGAAATCTTATATTTTGTTACCTACCGATTTTAAAGAAATCAAGTAGTCGGAAGTATTTTCTTCTTAAAGATAAATCAGGAAGTTTTAACTGATCGATTAACTCACTAACTGAGCCGCTAAATTTCTTACAAATAATCCTCGCCGCTAACTTGCTCACCTTATCAAGAACAGAACTATACCATTGACTATCATAAACTATACTACAGTAATCTAATTTACTCAAGATACAATATTTATAAATTTGAAGACGAATAGACTTCGGAGCATCTTTAAATGTACGATACATAGCACCAAGTCGACGCCTACAGGCAAGAACTAACGAGGGAACCTATCCAGCTGTCGGACGCCGTTTGACTCCATATTTTGGCTATAACTAGGACTCAGTGAGACTAAGAATATCCTAAAAGGGTTCGGGCCCATGACTCTTGAAGACTTTTCTTTAAAATCGGTAGGTAACAAAATATAAGATTTCAAGAAGTCAAGATCTTGAACATCTTGTAATTTCTTGACTTCTTGTACCAAAGTCTTGGAAATTCTCAAATCATGGTTTTGTTTTAAATATTATCTTTTGCAAGACTGTTTGAAGTTGATGGATTTCCAGAAACCGTTTCAGGTCGACGATTCAAATCTAATCGACCGTCTCTTGTTTGATCGCCACCTGATGCACCATTATCATGAATTGCTGTGGCTATTCCTTCTTTTTCTAATTCGTCGGCTTCATTTATCACCTGTAATTGATCGTCACAGACTGATTCATCACCTGAAATCATGAAAAAGATAAGCAAAAGTCTTAACTGTGTTCAGTATCGCTGATACGCATCAGAAAACCAGTGACTTTCAGTCAAAAGGAAATATTTAATCCGATCTGCGGAATATAAGCAGGAAGGGAGAAGTAGGCAGCTAAAGATCAGCGAGGAAAACGCATGTGTACACAGCGCAAAACTAGGTGGAAAAACACTAATTAACTTCCTTCAAGTTGAAGGACAACAAATAGTACTTACCAAACACCAGCATTTTACCACGTCGCTGAGAACGTTGATTTTTTACTTGTAGAAGAAGTAATTGAACTAGCAGACTGATGTCGAAGCATTTTTAATTAAATCTGGAAGTAAAATAAAAGAAAAACAAAACCCTTTAACGATCGCTTTTTATTGAACTTCTTTATAATAGACAATCTTCTGTTTTTAAAATAAACAAGAATTTAAGAAGATAGAAGAGCGAGAAGCAGGAACAGAAGGAAAAACAAAAAAACAAAAAAGCAGACCAGCAGCTGGACACCTAAAAACTGAAAATTTAAAAGTAGGCAGGCTCCTCTCAGTTCGATGGTAACGCGTTAAAGAAAAAAATTCCGGATAAGTAGAATTTTCGTGAAAATTGATTGGCACTGCTACAAATGCTGTTTAACTAAAACACAATGACATTGAAGTGCGGAAATAAACATCAGCAAAATAAATTCAATCACCTTACTTCGTCTTTCTTTATTAACTTACACATGGTGGCGCTAGCTACTTGAACACATTTTACACTGATGTCCTTTCTGAATGATCTCCCAGTCTAGAATTGGTTTAGAAATAAAGAAAATATATGAAAAATAAAGCAGTTTTAAATTTCAAGTGCTACACCTAATGAGATATTTAGAATACGCTTAATACTAACAAAAAAATGGCGTAGAAGTACCAGTTTTAAAGAGACATTTCTAAAAAGCACGTTTTCTCTCGGAATTTCAGGGAAGAGTGCTATAAAACAACATATTTACTTTCATCCTCTACCTACTCTTATTACTTAAACTCTTTCTCACTTCGAATCTTACAGACTGACAAAATATAGATCAAGTACCAAGCTCAGTTAGCTGAGCGGTAAGTATTTTGCTTTGTAATTTCTCTTTCTGTTCTAGGTCGCATGTTCGAATCACCATAAGTACATCTTCTATACTTGTCTTTCTTTCATGTCAGTTAAGCTCTTCTCTCCTCCTCCAGTAGCTATAAGAACCTGAACTTCATTATAGGAATTTTAGTTCAATAAAAAAAAACTTTTTTCAAAAAAAGAATTTAATTTAAAAATTTTAAAAAGACGCGTTTAGACGCGTCTACACAAAACGCGTTCAAACGCGTCAATATAGCGTTAGTATCAGACGCGTCCAGATAGCGGCAAATGGTGCATATTTGCACTACCTAGACGCGTCAAGACGCCTCCAGATAGCGGCAAATGGTGCATATTTGCACTACCTAGACGCGTCTAGACGCCTCCAGATAGCGGCAAATGGTGCATATTTGCACTACCTAGACGCGTCAAGATAAAACGCGTCAATATATGACGCGTCAGTATCAGACGCATCCAGATAGCGGCAAATGGTGCATATTTGCACTACCAAGACGCGTCTAGACGCCTCCAGATAGCGCCAAATGGTGCATATTTGCAGCGATTAAACGCAGGAAAAAGCGCGTTTTCAGACGCGTTTCCGGCCCGAAAATATTTACATGGGTATTACGTAATTAGTCATGGAAAGGTTGGAAGATGTATTTAAGGAGAAAGCGATTTATCGGAGCAACCTATTTAGTGATCTCCGGGATACGAGGGCATCGTTGTTTTATCTGCTGTTGATGTATTTCGTATTAGTTGCGGGACAGCATGAATATCGATTCATATTTAATGCGTTTACAAAGAAATTGTTATTGTTAACCATTGTATTAATGGGATTAAAAATTTTGGTATTGCACATGCGAATATATAACACATATTTACGCCAAATAGACGACTTTCAGTTATAAGCTAAATGGGTTTTATATATTCGATCCTTTTCCTGTTGTAGAATAAAATTATGTTTCAAACCTATTGATGTGACCTTTCTGTCTTTTTGGAAATGCTTTCTTTAAATTGTATCTAGACGTTTTATTAATAAAATCTAATCTATGATAATGACTATGTGTATCCGCATCCGGCATTTTTTTCATCACTAAAATAAGAAAGTGCCGTATATTTATAGTTAGCAGTCTTGCGGGATGATTTATCGTGACATGTAATATTTTCCCATTGAATATGTTTCATCAGTAAGAGGCCATACAACTGTTGAAATATAAATAATAAATTGTGAACATCTAGTCGTAAATACTTGAGGCTTCGTTTATCGTTCTTGGTAATACTAAAAGTAGAAAACAATCGGTGTTAGGTCAGACTTCAAGAATTAAATTTGCGAAGATCAAGTCAGAAAGAGGATCGCATTATTAAAGAATCGGTGAATCAATAAAGTTTACGTACTTTTCAAAACTACTACGTTGCAAAAATTTTTTTTCACTCTGTGACATAAATTCAATTGCATTTCTGCCGTACGATTCACACAATCTTGTTAAAGAATAAATATGTTCAAATATTTTGTTATTTAATACATAATGACCATATTGAATATCATAGAAATTAATCAATTTGATATTGACTCTTTCTAAACGTATAATATCTTGTTTTACACCGTGACCAATCTGAAATGAAGAACTTATTAATGAAAAACTCGCTAGTCTAGAAACATTTTACCTTTAATATTTGTTCGTCTTCAAAGATGGTTTTCAACCTTTCAAATGTTTCTTCTGGTGAATGAATTGCACTGATATTTATAACAAATTCTGTTGTTCCATCACTTAATTGAGCCGTAGAAATCGAACATTCGTTAAACTAAAAGATAAACAGACGAGTTTGTTAGACAAAGAAAACTAAAGCATCTAGAACTGTCAGTTATTTGTGTGAACACTTACACCAAAAGGAAACGGCGCTCTCACTTCAAACCTACCTCAAGATCAAAACAAATAATGTTTGATTTTTTTAATTCGATGACATCAGCTTTCAGCGATGATGATGTGTTTACAAACGTAAACGGTGTATCACATAGGCGTTTTGGAATCTAAAAGTAACTACTCCCCATTTAAGAAAAAGACTCGGGAAAAGAAGAGTGCATTAACTTACTGAATCGTCGAACAGTAAACAACACATATTTAAACAATTTATTGTTTTTTTCTGTTGTAAATAACTCAGACACGTCGGCGTGGTGACCAGAATATCAGTGACAGTTGTTGATAGTGCGTTGACATTTGCTACAGAGGACGAAAATGAAGAACATACAGTTAGGCCTCCTTGGGGAGAAGACTGTCTCGAAGATTAAAAAGAGCAATCTATCTTCAAAAACCTTCAGATGTGAAAATTAGAATCTCGACTTACTGCGTGTTGACAGAGTCAGCAGTAGACTGAAGAAGTTTAATTTTTTGGATTGACTGCTCCGCTAAGTCATCTGAAGCCTAGAAAGAGAGAGAGAGAAAAAGTCCAAGAAATAACAGAAGTTGACTCATTGTAAGTTTTCGTACTTCGATAACAACAACCATTGGATATTCTTCTTTAGTCTGATTTACACCAACAATCTCGGATTATTTCTGAATTAGTAATCGTAATGGTCAAAGACAAAAGAGTCGTAATGATAATTCTGATAAAAATAGAACAAATTTATTGGGTAACAATGATTTAAATGATTCTGGTAATGAAAATTACTCGAACGAAAATGAACAAACAGTGATTTCTAGATCAAATGATCGGGTGTATACTGATTTATCGAATGTCAGGCCTAGTACCATCAATGGACATAGTGCAATACTGGATGGTGGTTATCAACACTACAATAATGATTTCCTTCGTAATCAGCAACAACAGTTTATGCAGCATCAATATAATGATTATTATAGTCACCCGCAATTTTATCACCAACCCCAAGTAGATTATACAAATCAGGGTAGATCTAACTATCTCCTACAATCGGCTGTTCAATCTAACCGTACCCAGGCAGTTAAGATACCTATTCTAACTGCCACACAATCTTCGGTACGGACAATGAATCATGGTTTGATAAACAATCCGATTAATGATCAACATGTAGCACGTTTTACTCAACAAAATTCTAGTCCTAATACACCCAATAGTGCTTCAACGCCAAAAAGACAAATTGAAAATGAACAATATAAGAGTAACTTAAATAAACTTCCAAAGGCAACGTTAAACCATCAATACCTTAGTAATAATAACCCATATAGTGTACCATTCTCACATTTAAAACGTGCAGTTACAAACAACCTTCCCTGCTTTATTATACAATTTGATTCAAATATTTCACTAACGAGGGAACATCTCCAAGTGTGAGTCTCAGTTTTAAATGGATATGTACCAGTTTGTAGAGCTCGACGAGCTGATTCTTCTGGTATGTTCCGTTTTTGCCCATAGACCTTAAATGAGAAAATTGGTAAGTTTTATTTGTACAGCCTAAAAAACCCGAATTTCAGCTTTTTATGTATAAAATCGTCAGTTTTCGTTCGATTTTTTCGAACGACATTTCATTCGAAAGAGCGTACAAAACTGAACAGAATTTGATACTTAAAAATATTTTAACATTAAAATAGTAGTCGAAAAAAAATATTTTACTAAAATTTTGAGGTTTTGAAAAACTGAGGTTTTTCTGGAAAAGCCTGAATACTTTAAGCAACCAAACAGAAATCCATAATAGGGTTTTGATACTTTAACAGGCAAACAATTCTGCACCTGATGCATTGTTTAAAGAAATAAAGCGTTCTATTAAATCTGCCGATCACTTTAAAGAAATTATCTTTTCCTACGAACGGCTTACAAGGGATTACCGTTTTACAGTAGCCGATTTGAGAGAATATAACGTGGCATTACAGCTAGGTCGTATTGCAGTAGGTAACCGATTACTACCTATCACAACATACAAAGCAGCAAACAAAATGACATATTGTACTAAATGTTGGGGTTTGGGCCATTTGAGAGATGTATGCACAATATTAACTCAAAGATGTCGAATATGTTTAGATAATTTTGGTCCAAATCATCAGTGCTCTAATGTTCTAAAATGTGCTAATTGTCAGCTGGAGCATCACTCACTAGATCCAAGATGCGATGTTATTCGTCGGTATCGTACAGAATTAAATAAAGCTGTTAATATGGCAATTTGCGAAGATAAATTACACCGTCGTGAAATACCACAGCAACAGGATCAACCGACTACATTTCGTTATAACAGTAATGATTTCCCAGTAATGAATACTGATAAAATCAAGTCTAACCCATGGAATATACAGAATAATAATGATGATCAACAGAACATAATGAACTATTTACAGCAAATGAATCATGACATTAAGCAAAATTTTAAACAAATTAACGACAAATTAAATATTCAACAGCAAGTGATTGAAATTAACACAACAAATACTCATTTGAATAAAATAGTGATACAATCTACTCTGTCAATGTTATCCAAAATGATGAATAAAGTGATTAACCCCCTCATTAGCCTAATACAAGAGGAACGAGAGAAAGAAAGTGTTTTAATGGCTTTGGACGATTATGGTAATGACTTACTCAAACAGCATACGCGAATTACAGAAGATTAGTGTAGATACACGGAAATTAGTGATTCAGCAGCAATCAACGCCTATCATAACTACATTAAATAATCCCAATGATAAAATTAATAATAACAAAGATGATGACGACGATAGTCAATTGGTTGACCATAATAAGTGAGAACCATTATGTAAATGAACCCAAACGCTCCAAGTTTTGTCAGTGTTGCAGTAGAAGCGCAACTGATGAACGCTCGTAAGAGAATGACATATTGTAATTTCCCAGACTCAGTAATAGGAAGGATTTGTATTTATTTGTAGGAGTGGTTTTCTCGTTTGTCTCTAGACTCTCACCAGGTAATTTGATGAATAGGCACCTAACAATACCAGTAAAGTTTTGTCTGTACAATGTGGAAGGATGGAAAACCCGGGCTTTAGAAGTTTTAGACCTGATCCATAGAGTGAACGCTTCGCTGTGCGTTTTTACTGAGGTCGGATCCCTGTGGGATAGCTTTAAACTTCCCGATTTTAACATTTTTCATCAGCATGGTACAAACCACAGTGGCGGAGTATGTGTTGCAATAGCGAAGCATCTTAAGGCAGTTAAAGTAGAAATCAATTTACCAAATACAGTTATAGTAGATGTAGAAGGTTTTTCAGAATCGATAAGAATAATTGGTATATATTGGCCAAAATGCCAGAAAAGAGATCTAAATGATTTAAAACCTTTTCTTATTAAAAATACTATTCTATCAGGGGATTTTAATGCGTCAGTTGTACAGTGGGATAGTGCGCTGACAGACAAGCGTGTCGCAGTTTTAGAGGATTGGATGAGTAAAACTAATTTAATATATAGAGGGCTGCGTGATTACAATTACAAAATGTAAAGTTCATACATTGCTATTATCTGTAGAATTAAGAATTCTAGAATTCTGAACTTTACATACATGTAAAGTTGCTTATTCACACTCATCCTCACCCTCACCCCCGCAGCTCACCCCTAGAATTCAGCATTTTAGAAAATTCTGAACATGTAAAGTTCATAATTCTAGAATTCTTAATTCTACAGGTAATAGCAATATTTGAACTTTACATTTTGTAATTGTAATCGCGCACGTCTGAATATATATTAAAAACTCTTTTAATTCTTCTAAACGTTCTTTGCGTAATATCGATTTAACTTTCTCTGACATAATGACTTTTAGAGGTGAAACAGTAGATTTCGGTACTAGTGATCACTGACCTATTGTTTATTCAACAGACGCTCTTTGTTTTCAAGCTCTTGTTTGTTTTCCGCATGTAAACTGGAAGAATTATGAAACATTATTATATGTATTGCAAGATTTTGGTTAGAGCGACAAAAAGAAGTATCATCAGACGAATGGTATAAGGATTATATCCGTTTATATCCGTTTTAGGAGTCGTGTAACTCAATGGAAGGATAAAGAAAAATTTAGGCCATCTCTACCGAGCCATATATTAGTAAAATTGATAGAATTAAGGAGAGTAAGAAATATGTATTATCGTAAGAAAAAACTTAGTTTAGGCACTGAAGAATTAAGAGTGATGCTTAGAGTGATGAATAGAGAAATAAAAGTAGAAGTAGCGAGATATAAGTCATGTAGATGGAATCGTTTTTTATCTTCAATACAAAATAAGTATATTAATAAAGATAACGTTTTTTGGACATTTCTGTCAAGGATATATAGGCCAAAAGCATTATCTTTTTCTAAGTTAGTAGTAAAAAATAAAATAATTACTGATGGCCAACAAATAACAGAGAAACTGTATAAGTACTACAAGAATCAGTTTAAACCACCGGCTCTGGATCCAACGGATCCGCATGATTTCGAAATAGAAAACGAGTATTTTGAAATTATCAATAAATTATCGGTAAATTGTAATGGAGTTTTATCTATTGGTATAAATGAAATAAGTAGACTCATGAAAAAGTTAAAACCAAAAAAATCATCGGGATTAGACTCGGTTTCAAACTATATGATCAAGCTTCTCCCACCTACGTACATTGAAGGTTTAAATTCGTGTTTTAATACTTGGTTGAGAGAACGTAGATATCCAGATGGTTGGAAAATAGCCAAGTTCGTTATACTAAATAAATTAAAAGCAGGAACACCTGCATGTGATCAGACTCGACCGATATCTTTGTTAGCTACACATTCAAAAATTTTTGAGGAGGTCATGTTAGAAAGAGTGAAAAATTGGGCAGAAGCAAATCACATTATTCCGGACGAACAATCAGATTTTAGGTCGAACTGTTTACTGCCTACTCGAGTATTATCAATATTTCAAGAAGTTAATTTCGCTGCTAATATTCCCACGTTAGCTATATTCGTGGATTATCAAAAAGCCTATGACAATGTATGGCATATGGCTCTTATTGTAAAACTATTTAGGTTAGGAATACCGTTAGGGCTGTTAAAAATTGTTCATTCCTGGTTAAGCGATAGAAAAGCGTATGTTATCTTAGGTGATATGAGATCTAAGGCTTTTTATTTATACATAGGTTTGCCACAGGCCAGTAGTTTGAGTCCCGTTTCTATTCATTGTTTTTCATAGCGATCTCATCTCTTGTATAGGCGCGCATGCTGGACACGTTTTTGCCGATGATCTGAATGTTTTAATAACTCCACCGATAAATAAAAAATTAAAACCAATGTTAGAATATTTAGAAAAAGAAGGAACAAAAGTGTGTAATGAGTTAGCGCGCTATTCCAAAGGTTGGAAACAGCCAATAAATGTCGCAAAAACAGTAACACAACTTTTCCATACACAGGTCACACGTCCTCACATAAATATTTTCATGAATAATAAACGATTAGAACAAGTAAAAAGCCTTCAAGTATTTAGGTTTCACTTGGACAGAAAAATTATCGCTGAGATATACCGTAAGCAATTGTTTAGAAAATGTACAAAGATCCTATGGGAAACTCAAGTGGTTAAAAAATAACCGGGAAGTGTTCACGGATGTACTGCGGCTTTGTTTCTTTTCATATTCATTTCCGTATTTCGCTTGGATGTTTCCGTTTTTTCCTATCCTCTCTCAGTCACAGAAGGATTTATTTCTTAGAAAATTCAGAGTTCGTATTCACCTTACAGACACTCTGCTCAACATAGCTCCATGTCTGATAAAACGGACAACCTTAAAAACTTTAATTAAAATGTGAAATTTAGAAAAAGGTAATTTTTAGGGCTTTCAGAAATCTTTTTCAAAAACCTTCAAAAACATTGAATTTTTGGCAAACTGAGGTGGATTCTGAAAGACGACACTTTTTGGGATACTGAACCGTATGGTTATTTCAGTTTCGAAGAAAACACCGAATTCCTGAGCGGGGCGCCCTTAAGGTGGATCCTAAATGAACCCAAGTCCAATTTTGCGACTGCCGTAAACGACCGTATACAGTACTATACCACCGCCTTAAATCACCGTTTGCGGTCGTATTTGCATCGTAAACGGCCGTATACGGTGCAAATAAGGCAGTAAACGGCCGTAATTACACCGTAAATACGCCGGCCGTTTTACGGCCGTAACTGCGCCGTGACCGTTTATGGCAGTTAACAGTCAGTTTAGAAAAAATTATTTTTCGTTTCCAGCATCCTCTACAGAAGATGTATACAGAGCTTCAAGGCGTCACCCATGCGTTGTGTCGTCTTGAACATCACTTACCACTCACATACATACAATTATAATTGTTTGACTGGATTGAGATTCGAACACACGTATCTGGAATTATAAATTCAGCACATTCTGGTTATACCATATTGCTTGTAAACAACAGTGTGAATTTGCTATTCATGTTTGCAATAAATACCATGAATTTCCACGCGTGCGTTCCCATGTATGAAAATACCTTACCGCAGCTTCCGTCAAACTTCCATATATCGTAAATGAACATGACAATAAACAATAACATGACAAGAAATGACAATAATTGGGTCTGACAACGTGTTGTTCACTCTCACTTGGTGTGTACGATTTGAAAGATAAGATTTAAACCACAAAAATTCCTTTAACGCTAGCGTTTTTCAACTTATCCAAAAGAATTAATGATTTCGTCGATCATTTGGCTTTATATTGACGCGGACACCTACTTTTTCATACGTTCAGCTGTGATATGGGCAGCCTTATAACTCAAAAAGTAAACGGTACCTTTTTCTAAAAAATAGCATGGTATAGAGTACAAGTTATGTGCTACAAACTGCCAGAAAAGCTGAGGAAGGGTACCGTCTAATTTGATAAATTTTTAATCTGGGAAGTTGTCAGAATACACACTACATTCATGGTAAAGGGAATCTTTCTTTTTGATAAAACGTCTTTTCTCCATTTCTTACTTTATATCTCTCCCATAGAAAGAAAAAAAACAGCAGATCAAGTATAGTACAGAAAAGAATATACATACATCTTCATTCTGTTATACGATAGTTCCATATTCTTTTTCTCAGGCATATTGAATAATACTGTTCTCAATTTTGTTTTCAATCATATATTACCGGTGAAAATATTTAACGATGCAAATTTTGACGGCTTCCATAAGTGGCTTTTCTTTGGTGATACTTGCATTTTTCCAAAAGGATTTGTGCTGGTATTGCAGAAAATAAGATTGATAAGTTGATGTCGTGGAAAAGATGCAGTTGTGGCAATTCCTTTTTTGGTCCAAACCACAATTTGTTAAAGCACCGTCAATATCACGATTGTTTCAAGATTTCATGACATACGCATAACCTTACTTTACAACGCTTCTGCATGATATAAAAAACATTACTATATATTTTTTTGTGTTATTTCTGGTATTTCTGGTATTTATGTTATTTATCGTGTTTATGTTAATTATGATGTTTATGGCCTTTTGCAGTTGCATCCATTTCTTTTTTGATTAACAATACTATCTGATAAAGTAAACGATATTTCTCGCCAGTCATCCACTCCGACTACATGATGTTAGAAGTCCTCCAGGGACCCGTTTTCTGGATAACCAGTTTTTTAGAAACTGTAAAAAGTAACCAAAATCTTGACATAATTGTAACCCGCACATTTCTGATTAAAACGAGGCATCTCCAGCTCTACATGACGTTTCTTTGCAAAGTTATAGAGTTACAAGAAAAGCCCTAAATTAATGTTTTCCTTATGTCTGTACCTTTGAGCTGACAATGAGCGTTTAGGGCTTTTCCTGTAAACTCTATAACTTTGCGAAAGAAACATTGTGCAGAACTGGGAGATGGCTCATTTTAATCGCAAATGTGCCGACTACAATCAGACCTTATCAAGAAAGATTTTGGTTATTCTTTAGAGTTTTTGAAAAACGGATCTCTGGTGATCTACCTGCCAGTCTCATATCGATATTTGGAATCAGCATGGTCAATTACCTATCACCCACCAGGTTTCATCTCAAAAGCGATTGGACAATTGGTGGATCTACCTCGTGACCAGCATTTGTCAATCATCCGCCTTTAAATTCTTCTATACTTTCCATACTACTTTTCATAAAAAGTTTCCTTCCATTCGATTATATCATCCTCAAATATTAGTAAACTATGGAATGTTGCAATTTACTCACTCTCACCATCCACTGCAGCCTCCCCCCTGTCCAGCAGCTTTTCTATGAAATCAGCTTTCGTTTCACTACTGTTCTCCTCAGAAATACTGGTCTCTTTAACTCTGGAAGCCACATGCTTGGAAAAACGTCGGAACCGTAAATATCTAAACCATAAATAACATAAAAACCTAAAATACCATAAATACTTGAATTCGTATTATTCGGTCGTTCCGGCAATTATAATATGTTCACCCTGTGATTATTAATGTTCCATTCTGTAGAGATTATTGATCGTCAGAATATAAACATGTGAACTACAACAATGTAGACCTTGAAATGAGTTGATTTTCATTTTGTAAATCTTTTATTTTTCTCTCTTAGTAAGAAATACACGAACTGCTAGATTAGATTTAAAAGTCTGTGAGTGTAGATAAACGTTAAATTTATTGTGAAAACTTCAACTTGATATAATCCACGCAATATTTAATACCTTTTTTAATAGCATATTCTCATTCTAAAATAGACTTTAGATAATTCATAAACGATTATCGTACTCATCGAATGTTCAAACCGCTTTCTTTCATTGAGTATATTATTCATTTCGAACCACAATAATAATATTTCGCTTTCCACATATAGTTTGACATAAGATCATATTTAGATATATAAGTAAATTTACCGGAAAAACTTATCATATTCACGTTGAAGTTCATAATGAGTAACATCTATTTTCATACGAACAACTATTGCATATTCATCGAACATCACGTCTATGAAAGAACCATGTACAGCCGGCAACCGTTTATAGTCAATATGAGCTACCTACTCACTGACACTCGCCGAATCTTTTTCATACAACGGATATAAATGAAGATTATTGAAACCAGCGAATATACTGTAAAATGGTAAATGTTTATGATCCAACAAATGGTAATATACAAGTTTTAATATTGGAAACAGTTTCTTTAAATGGTTTTAATTTTTCATTATTAAATTGACAGAATATAAGCTGAGAACGAAATGTTTTTTCTGTTATAGCTGTTTTTAATTGATGTCTTAACTTTGGAAAATAAACGTCAAAATTTTTATTTTTGGATACTAGCAATAGCCTTGTCTGTTCTGTTCACAAAATGGTTGCAGACAGTTGTTTATATTGTCGTTAAAATTCTTGTTGCTTAAGAATCAGTTTGTAAAACTCAGTCATGTTTCTCTAATCAAATAGAAGGTTACAATAAGATGCCATCAGAACAGTGAATTTGGTTTTGTAGTTTCTGCAAAGATAAGTTCATGTATTCGAATCTTTATTCGTACAAAATTAATTTTGTGTTTTTTGATACTTTTAGTTTAGAATACTATAATGGAATATTTTTCCACTTGTATTCTGACAGAATAAAGCTTATATCAATAAGATGCTATAGTCGTTGATCGAAATAAATACAAATTAAATGTATTCAAAATCGATCAATATCAGTTATTTAATATAGTTATTTTTTATCTGACTAAGATAAACGATATCCATATATATCATTCCATAGTATTTTGGAATAACTCTAACCAGTTATGAGAAGGGAACGATACAGTTTTAGTCATAATTTCATTCATGTAAAGAGTAAGTATACTATCTGTCCTTGACATAGGTTAATTGATCATTTTTACCATTTCTTTTAGCCAAACATGTTGTGATAATGTGATATATCAGAGAGCAGAATATTGAGTTACTATTCACAGTTGTATGGAATCATATACCCAAAATGTTTTTATTCTTCTTTTCTCTTCTGAAATCATTTTTCTTCTCGTATATGACTTACATCTTTATTTATACACATAGGCTCTGAGAGAGCTAATTTCTTTTTTAGCCTATTATTTCCAGTCCTATTTTCTATATATATATATATATATATACCTTGGGCGATACTATTTTTCATGTAAGAAGTTATTGCATCTATTCTCCACTTTTCTTTGTTTCTCTGCAAAAAAGAATATTTTCTTGGATTAAAACTCGTTAATGTACAGTGCAATTAGGAG